GCTTGTGCAAGCAGCATTTCCCTGTGCCAAGCTGGGTCCCTGCCCAGCGAGCTCCAGCGGCCCCTTCCTCACGGGGCAATTACAGGAAGGCAATCGCAGTTCCCAAAACGGCCCAGCCCAACCCTGACGCTGCTCCTGCGGCTCCTTTGGAGACAACTTCCCTCCTTTAGTGCCAAACTCATCCCCGCTGCGGCCACCAGCATCGCTGCTGTGGTTGCCAGCCTGAGTAAGCAGCTCCGAGAGCGGGCGCACTCGCTCTACCAGTGGCCCAGCAGGGCGATAGGGAAGGGAAATGCCTCCAAGTTTTGCCTGCTCAGACCCGTCCCGATGTCGCAATGCCCGAGGGGCCTGGGGGCACTTTGTCCCGGAGACGCATCCTGCATCACAGAGACGGGGTGGGAGCAGCAGCGCTCCCAGCCCGGGAAACACGGCTGGTGCCAAATCTGTCTGCCCAGGAAGGGAGAGCCCCGAAGTTTTGGTGGCAATAAATCAGAGCAAACAAAGCTCGGTGAAGGGGAAGGCGGCGGGACTTTCTCAGCCCTTGTTGTTATTCCGTAGCGATTTCCGTGTGAGCTGGGGCAGGGATTTATTTTGCTGGAGAAGCTGGGGCTGCCCTGCGCCAAAGGAACACGGCGCTTTCGGTTTTAAAACCAAGAAATAAACAGAAAGGGGGGGGGGAATAAAAAGGCTGAAACTTTGGTGAAGAGAGGAACTATCTTTGCCAGCCGGGTTGCTGCCTGAGGGCTGGGATGGAGCAGGCAGGAGGGGCAAGAACAGGGGCAAAGGCAGGCAGGAGGGACAGACACAGCCTTTCCAGCAGCACAGGCATGTGCTCAGTGCTGCTGGGCTTCTCTACCTCGTGGAGGTCCCATCCTGCCCCCCAAAATCCCCAGAACAGAGAGGGCACGAGGAGGCACTGGCTGAGGTCTCAGCTCCCCTCCCTGAGGTGGCCAAGGGGACCCTCAAGGAAATGGGACTCACTTGGAAACTCCCCACTCATCCCAAACTGAGCTGGGAAGGGCTTGACTGCAGCGTGCACCGTGCTGGGAAGGGGCTGGCACCCCCGTGCCCTGCTCCAGCACCCAGGGGTGCGTGGGGGACACCCGTGGGTGGGTGGAAATGGGACAGACAGGATGAGGGGACAGACAGGATGAGGGGACATCCCCCAAGGCAAAGCCCCCCTTTCCCCTCTCCCCCCATGCCATGCCCACACTCACTCACTCACTGCCGGTGTCCGGCTGCCCTCGGTGCTCTGGGCCGGTGCCTGGAGCATCCTCCCCCTCCTGCTGCTCCTTTGTACCGGGCTCGGGCGGGCGGAGCCGCCGCAGGACAGCCCCTCCTTGGGCACCGTCCCGGGAGAGGCCCTGAGCTCCTCCTGCCCCGCAGAACCGGGGGAGAAGCTGACCCTGAGATGGAACCAGTGGCCAGCTCCAGCCCCTGCAGGGCTGCTCTGGGTGCTGCCACAGCTCTCCCCCGCTCCTGAGCTCCTCAGCAACCTCCACAGAGCACCCATGGAGCCTCCTACCCCCAAGGAGTGGGAAAATGGGGACAGAGGAGAGATGGCACCCTGCAGCACCTGGCTTTCCTCCCCAGACAGCAAGGAGGGGAAGATTGGGTTTATTTGAGCCTCCGTCAGGAGGCAATGCAGGAGCCAGGGTGGGCAGGAGAGGACAGGGCAGAGGGCTGCCCATGGGGCCAAACTCACCTTTCCCCCCTCACCCAGAGCACCCCAGAGCCACAGCAGGCCTGGCTTTGGAGGACAGGAAAGCTCCACCCCAAAGGACAGAGGCTTTTAGGGGAATCTCAGAGAGGTGCAGCAAAAGGCAGCTCCAGGGACAGGGTCTGACCACAGAAGGTGCACAGCCACCATCAGCCTCCATGGCCCAGCCCTGGTGGCTGTGGGCTCACATCTCCTGGGGCCAGCAGCCCACATCTCACACCCCACACCATCAGCTGGGACTGAAATGGTGTTTGGGGAACTGCCTCCATCTTCACCATGTGCAGAGAAGCCACGTCCTGCTCTTGCTGCTTCAGGGGTTTGCCACCAGGGCAGGATTGGACCTTCAGGGCTGGACATTGGCCTTCTGGCATTGCTACACCCAGACATCCTCCCCTGTATGGTCCAAGGCCAGGCAGGGAGGTGTCCAAGCCTTGGGAATTCTCCCACACACTGAAGGAAGCTGCTTTCTTCAGGCACAGCTAATATTTAGCCACAAAACACCTCCATAAATCAATAAGAGTGCAGAGACCAAGTGGATTAAACAAACAAAAAGACTATTTCAGTTTAATAATGGTTAATGCTGGGGTGTCCCACACCCTCCCCAGCTCAGGGAATCCCTCCCTGCTCCCTGGTGGGACCCTTGCTGGCCACTGTCTCCCAGTTCACCTTCCCACCCCCACATTTGGGGACTGACAGCAGCCAAGGCCATCCAAACACACCCAAAGCTGTGTTTGCTCTGGGATTTGGGACCTGATTGCAGGAGATTGGTGGCACATCTTATCCCCCATGGGATCCTGACTCTCCTGCTGAGTCAGGGCCCGGCCCTGGGTGAAAGGAGCACAGCTGAGAGGGGCAGGGGTGTCTGGGAGGGACACAAGAGGTACAAGCTCAGCATTCCCTGAACCACATGCCCCACCGATGGGGTGGGGAGGGACAGGAGGAGAAATGATCCCCTCCTGCCCCTGGGCTGTGTCAGTAAGGGTAGGGCGAGACGGAGATGAGGAGGAGGAAGGTGCTGGGCGCTCGCTGCCCGTCCGGGAGCAGCGCCTGCACCTGCAGCCGGTGCGTGCCGGGCTCCCGCAGCGGCCGCACGGTGGAGACGATGCCCCGGCCCCGCTCGCTGCGCAGGGCAAAGGGGCTGTCGGGCTCCGGCTCCAGCAGCCGGAACACGGGCCGGTGGCGCAGGGAGGAGGCCGGGGTGAGGCGCAGCACGTCCCGGCGGGCAGCGATGCCGAGGGGCAGGGGCAGCAGCTGGTACTGCAGCGTGGGGGGACCCGCCGGGCCGCAGAACGGGGGGCAGCGCCCCACGCACAGCCTGCGGGAGAGATGGGCAGAGTGTGGGTGCTGGGGAGTGGGCAGGACACTCGGGGGAGTGGTGGGATGGGCAGAGCGGGATGGGCACTCCCAGCCCCACAGCAGGACTCACGCTGGGCTGGAGCCTCTCCGGTACCCAGCCGGGCACGGCACGTCTGTGCAGAGGGCACCTCCACGCGTGTTGAAGCACATCTGGCTGGGGCCGCACTGGATTGTGCCCTCCCTGCACTCATCCACATCTGCAGGGACAGAGGGGACAGCTCTGGGGTGGCTGAGATGGGGGTTCAATCCCCAGCCCCCCCACATCTGCCTGGACACAGAGGCAGTGAGACATAAGCACTGACTGTGGGGATCTGAGGCTGGGAACAACCGTCCTGAGGAAAGAGAAAGGCTTGGAGCCCCAAAAAGATGACACCCAGGGCACCATGGGGAGGGGGCACCCCCCTGGCACCCCTGCACTGACCGTGGCAGGTTTTCCCATTGGACAGCAGCCGGTAGCCAGAGGGGCAGAGGCAGCTGTAGCTGCCCAGGCTGTTCCTGCACTCGTGTTGGCACTGGTGTGGTGTCTGACACTCGTCGAGATCTGTGGGAGGAGAGGGGTGAAGCAAGAGGGGAGGATCTGTCCCCTCTGGTGCCACTGCCCTGGGCCAGCCTTGTCACAGGCATCTTTTATGAAAAATCCTTTCCTTAGGATTTTTTCTCCTGAGAAGCTGAGAGGCCTCAGGAACAAAATGTGAACATGGATTATCTGCTGCTGTGGAATGCAACAGGTGCATCTGTGATTGGTCTCATGTGGTTGTTTCTAATTAATGGCCAATCACAGTCAGCTGGCTCGGACAGAGAGCCCAAGCCACAAACCTTGATTATCATTCTTTGCTATTTTATTCTTAGCTAGCCTTCTGATGAAATCCTTCCTTCTATTCTTTTAGTATAGTTTTAAATATAATATATATAATAGAATAATAAATCAAGCCTTCTGAAACATGGAGTCAGATCCTCATCTCTTCCCTCATCCTCGGACCCCTGTGAACACGGTCACAGAGCCGGGCTCTCACCTCCCCTTCCCAGCAGAGCAAAAACCACAGGGCACGAAGCGATGGGCAGGGCAGCAAGAAGGACACCAGGCACCTTTTGGGGACAAAGTAATCTCTGAACTCCCTTCAACACCCTTCCCCAAGCACGCTCACCAGTGCAGGTGCCATTCCTCCTGATGTAGCCCGTGGGGCAGGGCGGGCCCCGGGCTCCCCTCGCAGCATCCTTGGCCA